ATTACATAACAAAATACTCCCCATTATTAGCAATGATTACAGAATGTATACTCATCATGGAAGGCACTGCCTGTTGGGACTTTCAGTTAATTTCTCAGGGCAATGAGGTTTGGGCAAAACTAAGAACAGGGAGCTTAAGCGGTAGCTACACACCCGTGTATTCTCTGCCCCAGAGGTAACATTCTGAAAGCAAATCTAAAAACAGAAATGATTTTCAGCCGGTGCTAAGGAAAAACAAGCCAATGCCCCTGCAGTGCCATGCAGGCACACGGCTTCCACTCAGCACAGAGCGGGTGGGGGCTGGCCCAGTGCAGCCTTAACCATCACCCCACAGGCACACCAGTGCAAACCCACCCTCCTGTAGAAGAGACAGCTATCAGAAGCCCAAGTACCTGGGCTGGCACTGCAGAATTTAGTCAGTCTAGCTTTAGCTAGAACCAGAACGCTGGCCAGAAGTTTTTGGTTAGTGTCTCAATTGAGGCATCACCTTTGGCACAGATGCTGAGCGCTGCTGGCCACAGGGGGACCTGAGCATCAATGTTGGCAAAAACGGACAAAAAACTAGAGTGTTTTTGCTGCATCTGAGCTGGGCTAGGGAAGGTCCCACCGTGTCATGCTCCTGCGCTTCAGGCTTTGTCCCCAGATAGAACACAGGGGACAATCGGCATTCACTTCTTGAAGAAAACAATTATTCTGAATTTCTGTATCTTCAAAACAGAAAATAGATGGGAGGTTCATTATGCTATTCTATTTTTGCAGATATTTAAAACTTCCGGTAATAATCTGTTCTCAAGACATTTTCCATAGTAAGTTTTTGAATCTATAACTCATAGTTTTCTATCTCAGGACTTTAATTCCAAGGTAATTGGGACACTAAAAAATAAGAAAGTGATTATCCCGTTGAAGGGAAAAAAATGCCAAAATACTAACAATGGATTTAAATTTAGATTTCATCCCACCTGGTATAGAGTGACTCGATTAATGTCACCAGAAGCAGATCATACTCTTCTCTATGAATTGTTATATATTTGTGGAAATTGTGCCTTTGCAATATATTATTTTTGTTTTCCATTTCTAAAATACTTCAGATAGGCATGATGCTTTTCTTCTACGTCTATATATGTTTAAAACCTTACACAGACAGTCCTAGGCACCCTCAAATACCACCATCTGAGCCCATCTTATTCCCACCAGCTGACCCTTCATGACCGCAAAGGGCAAAGTAGAATTTCCCTCTACTTCAAAGCAAGCCACTATTTCATCAAAACAAAAAAGGCTTTTCCTCTATATTTTTTATAGAGGAATATATAAACCGCTGCCAGTTACATATTTTTATATTCACTCCTTCATTGTGTCTTCATCACTGACATACTCTGCCAACTGTATTTGTAAAAATGTATCTTTTTATTTCTATTCTTTAAATGTTCTTCCCTCAACCCCAACTGCTTCCTCTCACCTCAATAAACTCTACTAAAGCACATCTTTGGGATATTTTTTATAATATGTAAAGTAAAAAGAAATGAAAGCCTCTTTCTTCCAAAGCCTTTTCCAAAGTCACCTGAGCCCAGATCTTTCTCATCTTGAAGCCGAGTCTGCTCCCTCTCTCTCCAACTCCCTTGCATTTTGTTGATAAAAGGAACAATCCCTCGAAAGGGAATCACCTCCTCATGCCATACTCCTACTTCGGCAACAACGTTCTATCTGTCCTCCATTCCATCACACGTAAATTTCAGCCTGGCTCCCAAGGTCCTCCGCTATCAGAATCACGGATACCTGTCCAATTGCGCCAACCCACAGTGCTCAATGGGCCACGCCACTTGGGGTCGGAGAACTCACATTCCACACCCACTTGGACTTTAGAACCTTCTCCTTCATGAACTGCCCAACAACTCCACCCAGTCTGCAGAGGCCAGAACGACTCAGGTCCAAAGAACACTCTGGAAAGGTGACTAGACACAGGACAATTCTCTACACCTGTGTATTTCGATACTATTAGCATATTACCCTCTGCAATCTGGTGGGGCTGGTCTATAATTTGATGGGGAGAGCTGACAAAAATTCACAAAATGATGTAAGGTGACTAAGTTAAAACTACAAAGGGCAGGAAAACACACAACCTCTTGAATTATCAAGACTGAGAGTGTTGGCAACCAAGTACTAAAATAAATATTTTCACCACTTGTAAATTCTTTGAGCAGACTTTTCTAACAACACGCAAATAAAGAGAAACAAAAATACAGAAGTCCCAAGTGGATATACAACAGAGAAAGAAAAGATGAGTGTCTCCCCCCCCCCAAAAAAAGTCTCTTTTTCGATGCAGGTTCCTTGGTACACTGAGCCGTAAATTTGATGTGGTCCAAGGCTTGGGCCCTCATTTGGCAACAACGATGCACTGTCTAGACTGTGGCTCCCTAGAGGAAAGGTCTGTGCCTAAATTATTTGTGAACTTCCAATGACCTACACAGTGTCTGGTACAAAGAAAACAATAAATGGTTGCTTAATAAAGAGAGGCTTGTTTTGAACCTTAGATCCTAGATTTAAAAAAAAAACTATAGATAAAGATGTTTGGGGTTTATTCACAAACTCATTATTGAACATGAAGTTTAATCCAAACAATAGGAGAAAATTTTTTTCAAGCTTTTGATGGAATTAATTTTCTGAAAATGTTGTGATTTGCTTACTTTTAATTTGCCACTTACCTTTCCAATCCAACAAAATCTCTTTCCTTTAGGGCAGGGTTAGTGGACCAAATTTGACTCTCTGAAGCAGTCTGCTATCTATTTTTATAAATAAAGTTTTATTGCAAAAAGCTATATGCAACTATTTATCTCTTGTCCATAGCTGCTTTCATACTACAAAGGCAGAGCTGAGGACTTGCCACAGAGAACTGACCTGCAAGCCTAAAATATTTGCTATCTGGCCCTCTATAGGAAAAGTTTGCTGACCCTGCTTTCGGCATCATGTAATACTTAATATCCAATAAAACTGTGTCGTTTAAAATAGCTGGAAGGTTTACTGAGCTAAAGTTATTTACAAGTTAATTGAATATACTATTTACTTCTGGCCACTATGGTTTTATTATATCCTCAAAATTGAAATCTACCGAAGACATGCGTTGAAAAAAAAAGAAAAAAAAAACAGAAATCTAATGATACGGAAATTTTTTTCTTGCCACCTAACTTATGCCATGGTTTTCTTAAAGCCTTTAAGAGCCCATAGAGAGCAGAATAAACTTCATAGAGGTAAGAGGAGGAAAGGAAAAACTGCATAGAGAAGTTAAGAAGAAATTTAAGACTGTACCAACTGAAGCAGGGGACAAGGCACACAACACCTTCATCTCTTCACAGATGGAGCAAATGTGGTATTTAAGAGAAAGAGGTCTGAGTAATGGTAAAGAAAACATTTTTTAACTGTAGAGAAAATAAGCGAGTGTTTTGTTTGGATACGTCGGCTTATCCAGACTAAAAGGCTATCACAGCAAAGTGCCTTTTGGGGAATATGCAATCCTACCCATACACAAGGAATTCTCAGTGAAGACAGTGGGAAGAGAACACACGCATTTCCCCCTGACCTGTATCCATTACACCAGAAGGTTCACTCCACCCAGCTTTCTGTAACTGGAAAGCAGCAAATTCCCGGAACCACCTGGAGCCTCAAAGCCTGCCTACTCATCCTCAGTGCAAACAGCTCTCCTGCCAGCTAGGAGGCCTCACCTTCCTCTGAAAGAACCTTGTTTATTCCTACCAAGTATACCCTCACCCCTCTTCCATCCATCCAAATGCCACCTATTATCCTTCATGGTCCCATTCAAAATCCCAACCAGTGCACCTGTAGCAGTCAGAGGGACCCATTCACAAAGACGATAGTGTGAAGGTTGCTCCCGGAGTTGTACAACACGGCGGCCCCAATCCCGGCCCCTCCATAAAGTCTCTCCCATCCACATCACAGCAGGCTGGCAGTCCCTCTCTCTTTCCTAAAAGTATACATGTGTCTCGTGCCCTCACCGGGCTCGCATTATGTATTTTTTCCATACGTAAGTCAGCAGTGACACTAACAACAAACAGCCCTCCGTGAGTCAGGCCCCGCGCTAAACGCTCTGTGTGCGTCATCTTGTTTAGTTCTCAGAATAATCCTATGAGTAGGCATTACCACCATTTTCCAGTTTCATAGGTGAGGAAGCTAAGACAAAAACGGTAAATTTGCCGGAGGCCACACAGCTAGAAAGTGGCTGAGCCAGGATTCTGACTGGGGTCTGTGATTCCAAGGCCAATGTCCTTAAATGATACTCTAACTCTCACCCAGAAGGTACTCAATGAAACTTGCTTCGTAGACCAAAACTCTAGTCCAACCCCTAGCTACCCTTTGGTCTTTCCACTTCTTACTTAGAACAGCCCACAGAGTGGGAGAGCTTTGAGGCAGACACATCTCCTAGTGCTCTACCATCCCACACAGAGTGACTACAAGACTCCATTGCGATGGTACAAAATACCGAATATCCCTATTTTTCACTCCTGTGAGCAAGCATATCACACAGTTTACAATTACTTTCCAGGCTTCTTTTGAACAGCCAGGCGATGCGTGGCTTTATCTTTGACCACTGAGCTCATCAGACTACACACCCTCAAAAATAAACACAGTTACAGGAGAGTAGGTCTGTTCCAGTCTACTCTACGGGTAGCAAAATGACTCTTACGGAACCTTGGAGCTGTGGTCAAAATGAAGACTCTCCTCTCCTTTACCTGTTCCCTCCTACTCCCAGTGAGATGAGGGATTAAATAAAATGCAGGCATCCAGCTCCCCATTCTGAAATGAAAATTCCATACTTAGAAAAGCATTAAGAAGGTCCCCTATCATGCTGGTTTCAAGTGTTTAATTATATGCATCATGTAATTATATTGCATACATACTTTGTCACTGTTTTCTACTGAGGTTGGCGGGGACAGAGAAACTCAGCGTTGGATTCTTAGTTTAATGGGCTTGTTTTTCTGATTACTATACAGCTTGCTGGGTGAGCACTGGAGAGACAGTCTGATAAGCTTTAAAAGAGGTGGCAAGGAAAACCAGCCGCCTGTGGACGCTACCCATATGGAAACAGGCCAAGACTGGAAACACCTTTAGGAAGAAGGGTATCCAAGGTAAGCGACATCCTTCAGAGATGGATGAAATCTTGACTGCAACCCTCCTATTTTCCAATAAGATTTTGAGCTTTAAAAACAAGTGGATGGGGGCGGGGGGAGCCACAGCTGCTTAATCTGAAAGCATCTTTCAGTTTCCTTGCAAAAGTTTCCAAGTCAAGGAAGGGGAAGAATCAACACTTACCGTAAAAAGCAGGCCCTGGAGAGGCAGCAGTACCCCAGGGTACGGTCCCACCTGAAGGAAGTGCTCCCAGTGAAAGAAGCTACTATGAACCTAAGGCCCATAAGGGTGAGAAGTCAGAAGCTTATTTGGGAGTTTGCCACCTTGAAGCGTAGCAAGTGAGGAAGCAGTGAGAGGTGGCAGACGGGATGGGGTGAGGGTAGAAGCTACACCCAGACAGCTGTGGTGTGAATAAAACCGCAGCAGCTGAGCAGCATGGAAACAGGAGTCTTAAGCATCTGAGTATCTGAGAAGCAGCTGTGGTAATTTCTGAAATAACTTGGGGAAAAAAAATCAAAATACAGCATTACATTCAACTGTTAGGTAGACTGCAAGTATGATCCACGGATTAAGAATAAAACTAAAACCCAAGACACTATGCGTTGCTCTAATGGCATCTACGCCCGGGGCCAGACTTACGGGTAAAGCCAGCTTATAGTGAGCTCTCCCATCTGGGACTTACAAGAAGAGTTCCCCAGAACAGGGTCCAAGACAGATCCACCCAGTATTTAAAGCCAGCCTTTAACAAAGGCCCCGTATGGACACCAGACTTAGTCATTTGAGCCTAAGAAGAGCCTCCTAAAAAGTCAGATAAACTTGACTAACTTGAACTCACCCGTTAGAGCAACGATAGAAAGAATGTGTAATCCAATCATGTAAAGGTTTTTAAAACTCAGCCAAAATGACTGGCAAATAGGACCATATGAAAATTTTTTTGCTAAAATGGCAAAAAACCAAAACCCTCCTAAAAGAACGCTTCATTGTAATTCCTTACTGTAAATCAATAACTGTACCGTTCTAAAGGACATATTGGTCCATACAAGAAGCATTTTGGCTGATTCAAAATTTGGATGGAGAAACATGAGCCTAGGACGAGGGACAATGGCATACATGTGAAGTAAGGCTGCAGACATGCAGAAGTCTCATCAATTCCACATCTAGACATCTGCGCCATTTCTGAAGGGCGGGCAGAGAGAGGGCTTAAGAGTAAAGACTGCCCAATTCACACACACTTCAGTGGGAAGATTCACAGATTATCAGATAGTTCTTGTGCTGTTGGTTATGCCAAGTCATTTTGCACTGGGTGTTCTGTGAGATTCTCATGTCTGCTTTGTCTCCCCAAACTGACTGCCCACCTTCAGTTTCATTGGAAAAACCTTGATCTGTATGTATCTGGTGCTTATGAGGAGGTGTTACCTGTCTGCTCAAGGAGCTCAAAGAGCGATGTAGTAAGCTCATTTAATGCAAATGGTTTTATAATTCTGTCTCAACCTTCTTTCTGCAGCCGCCTACTTTTTCTAGGGCAGGGTAATGGAAATGATTTCAAGAAATGGGAAAAGTGTGATTTAAGTTAACGCAACTGAGCTTACTTCCCTTGGGAAAAGGACAGCTAGCTGACTAGGCTCAGAAATTAATTAAGTGGTGTCTGACCTCTATTAGTTATTTAAATTTAGTAGTAACTTTACTAACAAAGAGAAGGTGCTCCGGTCAGCTCGAATGAACGTCAGGATTCTTTGCTTTCAGCATACTGAATGACTGAAGTCGCTGCACTTCCCTCACAGCTGTACACAGAATTTTCTTTAACGTTCAGCTGACATGGAAAAGTCAGAATCCAGTACATGAAAGGCGGTTTGGGGGTGTCTGTGGATAATGAAGGGAAGTGTGAGCTGTTTGGGAGCCAAGTGTTCACACGTGGGGCCTGTCTCAAAACAGTGAATTACTTTCTTGCTGTCTTAACATTCTCCCTTAACTCTTCCCTCTCCAAGCTGTCTCCTCCTGGCACTTTTCTTCTTTAATTAAAGTACAGTTGGCTCACAGTATTATATTAGTTTCAGGTGCGCAACATAGTAATTCAGTATTTTTATAGATTATATTTCATACAAAGTTATTATAAAATATTGACTATGCTCCCTGTGCTGTACATTACATCCCTGTAACTTATTTATTTGAGACCTCTTAATCCCCTTCCCCTATCTTGCCCCTCTCCCCACACTTCTCCCCTCTGGCAACCACTAGTTTTGTACCGGCGAGTCTGTTTCTGTTTTGTTTTTTAGATTCCACATATAAGTGAAAACATACGGTATTTGTCTTTCTCTATCTGACTTACTTCACTTAGTATGATAATCTCTAGGTCCATCCATGTTGCTGCAAATGGCATTATTTCAGTCTTTTTCATGGCTGAGTAATGTTCCGTTGGGTATATATACTACATCTTCTTTATCCATTCATCTGGTGATGGGCACTTAAGTTGCTTCCATATCTTGGCAACTGTCAGTAATGCTGCTATGAACGTTGGGGTGCATGCGTCTTTTCGAATTAGTGTTTCTGTTTTCTCCAGGCATTCTTAACTCATATAGGGCCAAGTAACAGGAAGCACCCACACAGCCACACCACAGAGAGCTGGAAGTCCTGCAGGCACCAGTGGGAGAGGGGGTGCTAGCTCTCCCTTAGGAGGCCTTTTCCAGCTACAGCACACCCCCTTCCTGCTCCTCAGCTGCTGCCACCCTCCAAACCTCGCTCCCAAACCACTCAAGCAGTCCCAGGGAAACCAGACCTTCATCCAGCCCGGAAGCTTCCAATTCCACCCTACCCTACAATGCTGTTGTATAGACAACACTGTATTTTTTCAACCAGAGCATATATTACAGAAAGTATCCCGAGAGCAACACTTACATCTTTTTCCATTCTTTGCACTAACAAAAACAGCCCCCAAAGAAAAATTTAAACCAATAATTTACTTCCATCATGGATTCTCCTTTCACCCAGAAAGTAAATGCTCTACAGCACTGGACCACACCCCCCAGATCAAAACAGTGACACAAGCTAACAGAACGTATGAGGGAGACCAATTTACACAGTAGCAGCCAACATGTGCGAATACTTTCATTGCAAAATTGCAGAGTGTAGCTCACCAAATACATGCCGGAATGCTGATGTGAGTAATTACACAGGTGGTTATGCAAACACTGAAGTCATGCTTCAATCTGGCAGAAGGGTAAACATTTCTAGGACAGTTTGCAAGGTTCAATTATCTAGATCGCCTGGTTAATTTCCTTTACATCTGAAAGAGTTCCCCCGAAGTCGATCATTTTCCAACAGAAAAGTCACTGCTAGGAACATTTTCTGCATAGGCAAGAAAAGTATACACTTGTAGTAAACTGACTCAACATTTTTAAATGAGCATCTTTACCAGGAGCTGACCTGTGCAGACATGATTATTCTATTGTGTCCTACAACTTAGTTCAAACAAATCTTTACTCTTGAAAACATTTATTTGAATAATATCCATTATCTACTATTTGCCACGCACTATTCTAAGATGCTGGGGACACAGCAAGGGATGAAATAGGCAAAAACTCCTGCCTTTTGGAGGCTCATGTTCTACCGGGGGAAAACAATACAGTCACATAAATAAGACATAGGGCATGTTAGATGGTGATCAAAGTGTGACGGAGAAAAAGAAAGCAAGTAAGGAGAATGGGGTGGGGGCGTTATAACTGTAAATATCAGGGAAGACTACAGGGAAAAGGTAACATTGTTCAGAGACTTGAAGAAGGTTTAGGGAAGGAGCCAAGCCAGGTGGAGTCCTGGAAAATAACTTTCCAGGCAGAGGGAGCAGCTAGTTCAAAGGCCCTGAAAGAGCAGCGTGCCTGCTGGGTTCAGTGATCAACAAAAATCTAGAATTGGCTAACTATTCCATAATCTTGTTAAAGACTGTATCCCACATAGAGATTTCAAAAGGCTTCACTGTTTACAGTTCTGGAGTTTTCTCTTAAATATATATAGCCTTTGACATGACTGATTCATAGAAATGTATGTGTTTTGCTTTCCCCCATCCCTGCATGCACTGACAGCTTCTTGTTTGCAGTGACTTAAGTCCCAAGGGCCCTGGGAGTATGTTTAGTACCACAGCAACCAAAGCTAGTACAGCACTCAGATATGCTGTAAGTCAAAGATGCCTATATATGGATTCAAGGAAAGGCGTGCAGGAATCTCTACCTTTATCCCCTAACACCACAACATCCTCCTCCTTTGTGCTCCGGTGTCAAGGTAGTGAGAGGTCAGCAAAAAAATCTCCAAAAATGGTAATAAGCTCAAAGCAGAGCTGGAGGGAAAAAAGTACCCATCTCTGCACTTCCAAAATAATAATGTGATCCAATTTGCTTTCTTAAAAGTTACAATTTTTTAAAAAAGAAAAAAAGCCAAGAAGTCTAATTTTGAATACAGGGAAAGGAAAAGGAGAACTGAGTACGTAAAAGAACAGACTGTGAATCCCGAGTCCAGAGTAAGGTCAAGGGCAGAGCGAGAGGCCCCAGGACTAAGAGTCAGGCACACCTGGGCCCCCTCTGTGCTCCACTAGCTGTGTGGCCGTGGCTGTGCCACTTCACCTTTTCGAGGCTTCACTTCCTCATCTGGGGGAGAGGATTCATAATCCGTACAGTGCTAGATGGTTGCAAAGACTGGAAGCGGTGCATGAAAAGGGGACAGCGTGGAGAAAGGCCAATTGCCAAAGGTTATTATTGTGTGATTCTATTTATAGAGCATGTGTGAAATGACAAAATTACAGAGGAGGAGAACAGACTGAGTGGTTGTCGGGGCTGAGGGCAGGGGATAGAGAGAAAGTTGGCTATGATTATAGAAGGGGACCACGAGGGATCCTTGGAATGGAGCTGCTCGGTATCTTGACTATGGCGGTCACGTGAATTGTCACACGTGATAAAACTGCATAGAACTCCACACACACACACACACACACACACACACACACACGTGCATGTAA